ATTTACTAAATAAAAGTATTAATTTCTTAATAATAATTATCATAATAAATTGACCCCAAATGTTTGAACAGTAGTGTTTATAAATGTTTATAAAATGTATTTGTTTATTTTTTATTAAATTCAGTTTCATAATTGTATTATATAATTGTTTTATTTAACTCTTATTATAATTTTTTTTTTAATTTATTGAATTACCAAACAAGGTTACATCGATTGTTCAACAAATAACTATGGAGGTTCCTTCAAATGTAATTGGACATGGGATGTAAATAGGAATGGCCATGTTGCTCATATCAAAGCCACACGGTACGTTTCTCCATCTTACCTTAGGTTCTGCAATCTGCAATGATATAAGAGGTGTGGAAAATAAATAAATAAATAAATAAACTAAACTTGACTGATTCTGTTCCAGCCCTGGTGGAAGTTTCTCCATCTTACCTTAGGTTCTGCAATCTGCAATGATATAAGAGGTGTGGAAAATAAATAAATAAATAAATAAATAAACTAAACTTGACTGATTCTGTTCCAGCCCTGGTGGAAGCAACATCAGCTGCAGTCTGGATTCCAGTGGGAATATCACATGCTTAGACCATGACTATTGTCCCTATGCAGAGGAGGTGGAGCGCATCAACCTGACCATATACTTCAGAAGCAGCTTTGTTGTTGAATCCTACAATACAAAGTTCTACATCATGGATATCGGTGAGCTCTCAAAAATCGCTGAGATAGGGTCTTAGAATATTGAATTAGAATGCCGCTCATCTGAATATGAAACAATCTTTTTCTGCACTTCTTAGTTAGGCCTGATATGGTGCCTATTAGTAGGATAAATAAAACATCCGTAGAGGTCAAATATCCACACTCCTGGAGCACACCATCATCCTACTTCCCTCTCATGTTCCAAGTGAAAGAGATTCGCTGTCGGAAACATGACAATTGTGACTGCTCCAAACCGAACTCACAAGAGGTAACCCCACACACTACTGGTCAAAAGAATGTTTGGAATAATTACATTTGGAACAATTAGGGTGCATTTACACCCTAAAACAGTAATACTGTGAGAATTATTACAATCGTTACAAATTATTTTCAATTTTAGTATATTTTAAAATGTAATTTATTTCTGTGAAAGCAAGACTTCAATTTTAACTATTAAAACTATTATTATTTTTAGTCAGACCTGGAAATATATTAATATTTGTTTTGCTCAGATTTTCTTCACACAAAGTCACAAGCTGCCAGTGACAAAAGGGATGACGGTGTGTGTGAGAGCGAGGGATGAATTATGTAATTCCTCATGGAGTGACTGGAACCAGTACAAGTATGTGTATTTAACATTTGTTATATTTCTTAGCAAAACATTCATTTGTTTTACCCCCATTAAAAATAGTTTTATTGCTTTATTAATGTTTTTTTTTCTGCACACATTATAATACAAAATGTCTCTGTTCATTTTTAGGTGCAAAACCAGAATAAATAGCAAGCAGAGGAAACGAGAACCAAAGTTAAAGATGCTATAATTTATTATGCATCTTTAAATAAAAATCATTTTAAACATTATGATGCTTTCTGTAGTTATGAACAATGACTGACTCTATTAGACCTTTTTTGGTCATATACTGTGTAATTAAATACAAACACATAGTATGTGTTCTTGTAATAATGTATTTATCTATACATTTTATAATAGAATTAATAACATTATCATGCTCTTAAATGAATTATTTTTAACTGTAGTACATTTTGATTGTGTTACATGTATTTATTATGATTTCAATGTTTCTGATGTCTTTACTTGATTATATAAGATATAAAACATCAATACACTCTTAATTCAGTTTGTCTTGATTGCATGTTTAAATTTAAGAAATTTGACTTCATGTCATGCCTCACCAAGTGTGAACTATAATGTAGTGTGTATAGTTTGCTAAATAACACGCACATTGAAAGGTTTGGACTTTGTTAGGGTCCTAATTATGTGCAAATGTTTTTTTCTTTCTCTGTAGATTACACATAAGACTGCCCAAGACAGGAATTACTGTCACATCTCAATGTGGAGCAAAGCGACTTGCTATTCCACCAATGTCAACAGAGTTCGGGCATCAAATCAAAAGAGCCCCCTAAATCAATTTATCAATGATTGTTCAATCATTGTGTAAAAACAATTCCTCTATTGAAGTCTGGGGAAAAAACATGTGTAACACACCATGAGTGGCACTTAACCAGCATGACTTGCCAGTTGTAAAAAACACAAGTGCTGGGTTTTTGGAAATGACACAATTGGTGCATCACTGACATTTGAGGAACTTACCCAAACAAACCTGCCATTCATTAATTGAAGCTAGTAAATAATAAAAATAATAAAAATAAAAAATAAGTAAATGAAAGGGAAACGCCAATAACTGATCTGATCAGCTGTGATCTGAACTCTACTAATCTCAAAAAAGACAATTAATAAACAATTAAGCAAAAAAAAAAAGTATGTATTTTCTGGGCTAAATGTATCCTTAATTATATTTCTGGCTAAATAGTTGACCTGTTTATCCAGGGAGGTTTATACGTTTGAGATATACAGAACGTCTTGAAAAGGCCACTGTCCCTCCTTATCAGAGTTAAGAGTCTTTTTCAGGGTGTTTTTCAAGTGTGACATAAAAACTTTGATCTGAGAAGCATTTCCTCAACATCATTATGAGAGACAGTGAAGAGGGTACAGATTGCTGACCTACTTATGAAGTATAGAGACTAAAAGAGAATCTTGGCTCACTCCCTCTGGAACATGTGCTGTTGTAGGCTGATAGAAACATCCACATGCTTATAATTAAATGATTTACAGTCTGTATGTAGCAGCCACACTGCGTTAATAAAATATGTAATTAAATGTGTTCTTTCACATTTTGTCTGAGCATAAAACATAAGTAAATGAAAGGGAAACGCCAATAACTGATCTGATCAGCTGTGATCTGAACTCTGCTGATCACAAAACAGACAATTAATAAACAATGAAGCAAAAAAAAAAGTATGTATTTTCTGGGCTAAATGTATCCTTAATTATATTTCTGGCTAAATAGTTGACCTGTTTATCCAGGGAGGTTTATACGTTTGAGATATACAGAATGTCTTGAAAAGGCCACTGTCCCTCCTTATCAGAGTTAAAAGTCTTTTTCAGGGTGTTTTTCAAGTGTGACATAAAAACTTTGATCTGAGAAGCATTTCCTCAACATCATTATGAGAGACAGTGAAGAGGGTACAGATTGCTGACCTACTTATGAAGTATAGAGACTAAAAGAGAATCTTGGCTCACTCCCTCTGGGACATGTGCTGTTGTAGGCTGATAGAAACATCCACATGCTTATAATTAAATGATTTACAGTCTGTATGTAGCAGCCACACTGCGTTAATAAAATATGTAATTAAATGTGTTCTTTCACATTTTGTCTTATAATAAACAGACTGTTCATTAAAAGTTGTCTATGGTCATTTTATGCAAATAGGTAGTAGGTCTGAAATGGCTACAAGTGATCTCTCTGTTTCTCTTTTAGTCAGCAGTGTCTAGCAGTAATTTTGCAAATGAGTTTTCACTTAACATGCAAACAGAAAATGTGTGATTTTGACACAAAAAACTGGCCAGTTATTGAGCCTCTTGTTTTTGAAACTATTGTTTTGGGTTACCTTACCACAAGACAGCTGCTTTGGGACTGCTGTTGTGGGTTAACATGTGACCTATTGTATTTTATTACTGAATGGACATTTACTGTATATTCCCTGAATGCTACATCATACTCCGTAAATTATGCTTAATCATATGTTTATACAGGAGGGAAGTTCACGTCAACATGAGTGAATAGCTGAGCCAGCTGTGGCTTCACCACATGAGGAGACATTACTAGGGGTTTGGAGAGGATAATTTCCCATAAAGCATGATTAAGGTCATCAGTTTTTAACCACGGTTTTTTGTTTTGTTGGAGAGATAGATAGAACCACAGAGCAGAGAACCACATCTTGTAATTAAACACAAACTGGGGGCATTTTTTCCATTCAACTCAAAGACCTCAAAATCATACAAGGACAAACTCATTAAAGTGTTGTTTTAATAAATTGTGTTACAAATAATATAAAAAATAAATAAATATTATAAAATAATTATACACACACACACGCACACACACACACACACACACACACACACACACACACACACACACACACACACACACACAGTGCTTAACAAATTTATTTGACCACCACCTGTCATTGTAAGGTTTGTGGCACAGCTGCCCTAAACTCACAGTATTGGTGTTTACCAAAATAATTTTGTATGTTTCTGTAATGGTTAATCCACCAGTATGTGTAAGCTCTTTAGTGCCAGTAGTGTTTATAATGCTAACATATCATTATTGTTGTTATCCATGAATTTTAGAATTTACTGTTTTAGAAAAAAGGCAGAAAAATAGTACAGCACCTTATTATAATTTTTTATTCAGATGCCCACTTAGTCAATAAATACAGTCCAATAAATCTGTATGTGCGTAACAAACTTATTAGATCACCAATAAAGAGAAAACACAAAATCTGTCCAAAACATGCTTCAAACTAAAAATGTTATTGTCTTTTATTAGGCAAATAACAAACTGAAATAGTGTTTATTCACACAAACCAAAAAAACGTAATATTTTGTATGGCCTCATTAGGCAACAGCTTGCATTCTTGCTTTGTTTTTTTGTACTTTTCCACAGTCTCTGTTGTTATTGACTGTAATTGGGCATCTGAATAAAACATAATAAAGTGCTTTTTTGAATTGACTGTTTTACAAGAAAGGCAGCTTTACTATTTTTCCTGCCTTTCTTGTAAAACAGTATTCGAAAATTCATTGATAACAATAATTATATTTGATCATACTATCTACTGTGACTAAAGAGCTTACACATAGCCTACTCTAATTAACCATTACAGAAATATAAAAAAGGATTTTGGTAATCACCAATACTGTTAGTTTAGGGCACTGTGACACAGCTTTACATTATGTGCTGGTGGTGGTCTAATAAATAAACGTGTTAAGCACTGTAGCCTGACTTCTCTCAACGCCAAACAGGCGAGAGGGAGAGAGAGAGATGTGAAGATCTATTACAAAAGGTAGTATTACAGATAGATAGCCTATAGTTATCAAGTCGATTATCATTTTTGTATTATTCACAGCCCGTGATCTGGTTCATTAAAGCGCTCTTAATCTTTATAGCACAGTTGGCATTGTGAATGCGGAGTCGTCTGCTCTGACTCCTTATCATTCCACCTCTCCACCCCCTCTCTTCCTCTTCTTTCTTTCAGTCTCAACGTGTGCTGTGCCCTCATGATGCCACGGCGCTCGCTGCTCCGCTCTCCGCGCCGCGGCGCACATGCTCAGTACCGATCACTGTGGCAATCTGTAATGGCTGCTGGATGATGTGATGCGAGTCCCGGTGCCGCGCCGCGTCGGTAGGAATGCCACTTCCCTGAGACCGCCAACCACTCCATTCATTCCTCCGTCAACATGGTTGACATCCGACAGAAGAATAAAGGTCGGACATCGTAGTCGCGAGCACTTGCGAGAGTCATAATCGTGTAAGTTGAATGTGTATTTTGTCTCCGTCAAATTGCGGTTCATTGAGCGGAGGATCCGGACATGCCTTATCCGAGGTCACTACAGTTCATAGCAGCATCTCTAGAGAGAGAAGGCGCATATAGCCGCGTGCTGCATATAGCTTCATCCAAATGTTATATATAACGTGCGATTCCGTGCAGGTTTCCTGTTATTAAAGACGTTTAACACCGGTTATCACAGCATGCTAAAGCAGCATCGCGTCAATGTAACGTTACAGACAGCATTAATACAACATAGGCTATACTCACGTTTGTTGTTTTTATTTACGTCAATAGGACGGAAAGCGGAAGTTATTTTGGTAGACGCGCTTATTTAGTACTGCAACAGTGCGATCAGCCAGTCACACACAATTAATTTCCAATGAGCCCGGGGTTACTGTAGTTAATTTCGACAGTTCCCGCTGGCTCTAACATTAGAAAATACATTATCAGGGTAAACATCTGGGTTTAGGGTCGAGGGGCTGAGGTACTTTTTTTTTTATAAAGCTTGAACCCCCCCAAGGGAAATCCAAACAACAAGTTGGGAAGATAGAAGTATTTATTCTTACAGAAAATTAGACGTTTTAAAGGGTTTGAAATGTGTCATTAATCACAAAAGATAGTGTACGTAACGTTACTACGTATCACAATGCGTTAGTCTTACGAGGTTACCATAGCAACAGTAGGCTGGCGAATTAATTACCGGCTAAAAATACAAACATATATTTGCACACGCACTGTATTTAACACTTACAATACATTTACCTATTACAAGTGCCTCACAAAAAAGAGTGCCCCCCCACCCCAAAGATGGCTTATAGACGTTTTAATTGACACATTTTGCGCGAACACAGATGATTATTGGGTCCGAGAAAATGCCCCACGCCTCGTTAGTCTTACGAGGTTACCATAGCAACAGTAGGCTGGCGAATTAATTACTGGCTAAAAATACAAACATATATTTGCACACGCACTGTATTTAACACTTACAATACATTTACCTATTACAAGTGCCTCACAAAAAATAGTGCCCCCCACCCCAAAGATGGCTTATAGACGTTTTAATTGACACGTTTTGCGCGAACACAGATGATTATTGGGTCCGAGAAAATGCCCCACCGAAGTTATTTTACAAACGAATTTACAAAAATGGACAGTCCCTCAGAAGTGTGCATACTTAGCACACTGGGTGCAAAACAGATGCATTGCATTCAGCATTATGTAACTGTTTGCCTATAAGGCTGCTGCTTACAGTTTTATGGAAACTTTGACAAGTTATTTGCATTATTTGCTAGGTTATGGTATACATTAGCCTATATTAGACTGTTTTTATGCTCTGTCTGTGCTGTGTTTTATGTGAGTTTTAAAAACAAGCAGCCCTAAGTAAACAAACAGATTATGTAATAACCTGTGTTTGACTCTGTCCATTAAACTCCAGTGCACAATGCTGCCACATTTTATATTTAGTCTGCCTAATTACAGCCTACACAAACTTTTTGTATTTTCTGCTGTATTCAGTTGAGAAATAATTCCCTGAATCAGTTTTTTGGTCTTGTTTTCAGAGCTTCTCTTGTGATTAGGGCTTGTCTTCAGACAACACCTTTTTTTTACTGACAGACTGTCATGAACCTCTCTCTCTATCTCTGTTTGTGTCTCTCTATCTCGTATCAGTGCAGTGCTGGTGTGTGATTGTGCCGGTGAATTGTGTGTGGTTGGCGGTAGTCAGGAGTGATGGCTGTGAAGGAGCGGGTGGAGGCGGTGCTGAATGTGGGCCTGCGGGTCCCCAGTATCATGTTACTAGAGGTGCTGTACCGCTGGGATGTCAGCTCCTTCTTCCAGAAGATCCAGAGAAGCAGCCTCAACAACAACCCCCTCTTCCAGTACAAGTATCTGGCCCTCTACCTTCACTATGTGGGTGAGTGACACATTTTTATATGACAATATTTGGGTTATTCCATGGTAAATGAATAAGGGGTCATTTGGTATCATTAAAATGGCCATGATAGTACCATGGTATTACCATCTCTCCACTATGGTACTTTTTGTGAGGGAATGAATGAATTAATAAACTCAATTTTTGAATTTAGTTTCCTTCTTGCTACCTAAAACCCAGCAAAGCTAAATCAAACACACTCTTCTGGCATTTTATGTTTTGGTGAATTAGTGACTAATTCATATGAATTTGTACAATCTTATTAATATGTTTTTGTACGATCTACTTACGCACCATTGAATGTTAGGTCTAGAGTGTGAACATTTATGTTTACTTATATAAATGGTATGTATCCATACAGATCACTTCGTACAAATTCATACGAAATCACAACCTTGAAAAAAAAAAAATAATTTTCTCATGATATCTGGTTGGCTAAATCATTACAATGCTGTTATACAGGGGCGCCTGCAGGAATTCTTCCGAGGGTATGCACAGAGGTTTTTTTTTTCAACCAATTGATCAGTGAAAGCAGAACGAATGTGTCACACGTTTTAAACTCAACAAAATGGTAAAATACATATATCAAGAGCATGCTCACACATGAAAACAGAGAACAAAACAGCATTGGATGAAGTGGATTAGAGCCCTGCACGGGCCTCAAATATAGGCCCTAGCCAGCCTTTTTTCCCCTTTCCCCGAAAAAGTTTATACTACTGTTTCAGCTATTAAAATAGTTCAGTTTTGTATGTAATGGAAAAGTGATAATATTTCGTTTAGTTTTTTATAAAGTTAATTTAAAAAAATGTTTGGAGCATTTTTTTTGTTCGTTAAATGTAAGTTTTTTTTTATTTTTGTTTTTTTAAGTAACGACCAAGTGGCCAGCGGCAGACATTGAATTGATCATAGCCTATATGTTTGATCAATTTAGCCTTCTCAAATCATCACGACTTGCCTAAAATAAAATCTATATATAAAGCAGTTCAAGCATATCACAACGCTAGTTTAAACATTTAACCTAGGTAAATGTGCGCTGTTAAACGCATATCCAATCGTTTGTGTGGAGAGTGGAATTGTGTGGAGTGAGCAGGAGCGCTTCACAATGATGAACCTAAACTCAGTGAATTGCCTCACAGACATGATAAAAATATATAGAAAGCTTTAAATTACTACTTTAAAATGAAATAATTCAAATAGAAACACTTTCATTGTGTAATCCGTGCATTTCTCTCTAAAGAAATCTCTCTAAAGCACATCCAATGAGGAGATGGCGAGTCATTTTTTTCATCACCATAATAATCGATGGATGTCTAAAATATAAAAATAAGCAAAAGCCTAAAACAGATCCTATTATAATTTGCGTTTTATTTTATAATTCTGTACAATTAAAAAATAAAACACAAATTGTAATGGCATATATGCAAAACTTTGTCCCATAATTGTATAGCTGCTTATATTTTCTGATTTTATGTTGCTCTGTTCTGAATACCTTAAAATTTTAAGGATTTGCTGCAATGCAATTTTGTCTGATATGTGAATTATTTATTAGCCTATTTTTTATCCATGCAGCAAATGCTTTAAAAACAGCTTTAAAAATTACTTTATTGCATTCCAGACACTTTTAAAGTACTTTTAACTATACATTTTATTATGGGTAGCTTGAATGTAAAACATTGTCATGAATTTGTCGTATTCCCATTTGTAAAATAGCCAACAAATTAATTGCTGTAGGCTAACCCGATCTCATGAAAGTGCGTATAGCACAATTTTCTGCTTCTATTTGGCATAATATTTATATGCAGAAATTGACTTTGGCATGCAAAAGACTGATAAAGTCATAATTAATGGCCTGGCTGGTTCAGTCGACAGAAATACGGGACACACAGGCCTATAATAACTGCTGAAAAGTTTGCGGGCCAAATCTCAGGTCAGTCTGAGCGCTCATGGTACGCACAGTGCGTACAGCCGTACACCTGCAGGCGCCACTGCTGTTATAAAACATATATTTGTTCAATTCTTGCTTTCCCTGGAAGTTGAACTCATGACTTTGGGCGTTGTTAATGCCATGCTCTACTACAGAAAAGCATAGTGTGTTATAAAATGTGGTTCAGGGCAGCCAAGAAGTCTCTGAAGATTCTTTGCAGTTGTAATAGGAGAGAAGCTTTGTTCTAGCTAGAGGTCAGCCAGGTGGTCTGTTAGTCACATTACTCCAGATTGTCGCTCATTTGAGTAATGGTGGCACAGGCAGAGAGGTGATTGAGTGGAGAATGGAAAAAACTGAAATGAGCTGGCAAAAACCTCATATGCAAAAGAAGAATCACATGAAAATAAATAAATATAACCTATTCAAACCTATTTCTCACTGTTTATTTACCCTGTGGTCCTGCTGACAGGCGACTGATTCAGGCCATAGGTCTCTCTCAGCCCTTGTCTTGAGTTTTAAAAAGACTCAGTGGAGTGTAGCATCAGCCCCCATTCATCTGCTGCACACATCCCAACACACACATCTCATGAGTTATTCACAGGGATCATGCTGTGTTGATGTTTGTGAATGACTTATATTTTCTCCCCTTCTCAGTTGTTCATGTTTATTTTTCTTTCTGAAAGGCTTTCTTAGGTTTCATTTGGTCTTGTTTGTAAGAGACTTTAGTACAACTTCACACACATAATCCCATGTTTTAAAGGTTTATAAACTTTAATTAAAGCCACAGACTCCAGGAAAACTGGCTTTTGGAGCAGATGTTTGTGTAGTACCCAAAGGAACAAACCCTAATGACCCTGATTTGTCTCGTATGTGTGTGTGGTCATGCGCTATGCCCATGTGGCTGTTATTTACTCTGGAGAGGAGGCTTTTGAGGTAACGTGGATGAGTTTGTACAATAAGAATGGCAGCTTCTGGTAATGACTCTAGAACAGAGACCACCATCCAGCAAATTGAAAAGTGCAAAACAATGAGTCATAATGTACACCGAGTTTACAGAATAAAAAGTAATTGTTTTGAATAAATACACATTGAAATGTGGACCAATGACATGATGCTCATTGTTTGTTCTATCTAATAATTTATTCAAAATGCAAATCATACATAGTGACTTGAAAACACCTCTTCTATGATGAGCTTGTTTTCTGTTTCTGTATTAACAGAAATAGATGTTTATATGTTTATATATATTCCTTATGTAACCGTCTCCATGAGAATGCTCAAGGGGGCTAAATCACAATTTTATTTAAGGGAACATGGTATACTATTTTGAAGTGTTTATATAAAAATAAAGCAAACCACAAATCACTTCTGTCATTTGAGTGCAAAAAAAATTGTGTCATTAATCTGTGTAAAAGAAAAGAAAACTTGTCTATTTGAATGAATACGAGTCTCTCAGCCGAAGCAGGCACTGAACACGAACATTGAAGACCCCAATGATGATAGAAGGCAAAAAATCCAATAGTCCGATAGAAAAAGTATTCCAAACTATCAGCACTCCAAGTTTCCTTAAAACATAGTGTGCATTGCAATCTTGAATGATCTCAGCACGATGAGCAAAGCGTTTTGATCAGGTTATTCATTAGTCCAACAATGAGTAATTCACAGTACAAAAGAAAGGAGGAGAGACAGAAAAAAATAGTTCTTCTACAAAACAAACACACAACTAGCATTAGCATATAAAAACAGCCCATAATTTCACCACTATTTTAACTATATTCAAAATAAGTGCATAGTTGCAAAGTATGCTAAGTGCAAAGTTCAAAACAAGCTAGAACACTTACATGATTGAGCTGGAAGCATTTGTTTCTCAATCCGAACTCCATTAAGCATTAAAATTAAGGTTACATGAGAGAAAGCCATGCTTTCCCTTAATCAAACAGGTATATCTTACTCAACTGCCTATCTACGCTTTATCCCCAAATGGAGAACAGCCTATAGCCTACAGTAGAGGAACTACACCAAAATAAACAAAACAAAAACATAGTAACCGTACTATGGTCAGTTACATACTCCTCCCCTCGATGGAAAATGTGTCCCAACCGTGACACATTTTAAGATTCTGTACATGCTAAGAGTCTATGGAGACAGGATCAACCATAAAAGAAACTCTGTAATTTACCGGACCTAATTTCTTTTTAATTACCGCTGGACCTTTCCATTTAGGTGACAATATAGCCATGAAGCCATCATCTGCTTTAAATAAGGGATGGGTACGAACCCAAACTACGTCTCCAACTTGAAATTCACATGATCTGTGTCATTGGTCATAGTTTGACTTGAGCTCATTTCACATTTTCCTTTACCATGCTGATGAGCAGTTCTTGATGATCCAAGATAGGATAAGCAGGATTTTCAGGATCGGGAGGCTTTTGGAGGGCTCTCTCCATTGGTCCTTTCAGATTACAGGCCAAGAGCTATCTCTGCAGGTGAAAATCCTGTACTCTCTTGTGTCATGCTGAGCTTATAGCAAAGCAGAATTCCGACAGCTATCCGTCTCATTATCATATCAGGCCAGTATACCTTTTTTAGTGGCCTGAGTAAGGTTTTCATCTTCCCTAAATGACCACTGAGATGACTGACATGTGCATACTGCAAAATATCTGTCTAAAAGCATTGGGGATGACTAATTGGCCTTTCTGGCCCTTTTGACCACCCGGAACACACCAAAAAAGAAATCCATTCTCCATCACATAATGAACTCTTGTCATATCTTCTGTATAGGTTGCTTTCCGACTTTGGTTGCTAACTTTTGGATTTCTGGGTCATTATTTTGTTCTCTGGCTATTTGTGAGAGGTTAACCAGTAAATTGAATGGTAGAGATGTAGATTCAGTGGCTGTACTGATGAGTAGGATGTCTGGAGTGGTATGGAGGCCCTTTTATAAAACATTATGAACATTGAAACGTACGAAAGTTGCACTGTCCTTTTCGATACCTTATAGTGAAATGGAAGCCCTGCAGTTTTATGGTCCAACGAATCAGACGAGAAGGTGGCTTAG